GGCCGACGATGGGTGTGTTTTCCTGAAAGCTTACCAGAACTGATAGGAACATAATGAATAAAGTCGCAGTGTGAGACAGAACAGAGCGCTCCGTTCCTCTGCACTGGGTTGCCGGCAGCGTTTTGGGCCCAGACACCACAATGGGACTTAGCAGCTTCTGAGCGGTTTTCTGTCCAACAAGGAGAGAGCCCCAACGATATCAAACCTGAGAAACTCGCCCAGAGGAGCCGTGGCTGCCCCCTCCCTGGCAGTGTTCAAGGCCAGGTTGGATGGGGCTTGGAGCACCCTGGGCTGGGGGAAGATGTCCCTGCTCATGGCAGGGGGGTGGAACCAGATGAGCTATGTGGTCCCACCCAACCCAAACCATCCTACGAGTCTATGACTCTACGCAAATAACTAATTAAAGCAGAAATGCCAAATGGCATCGGCAAGTGTCTCAGGGCACCTAACAGCACTGGTACTCCTGGGGTGTTGATTCACTGATACCCCTGGGGTATTCGTTTGTCCCTGCTGTGGCTTTCGCCCCGCTCCTGGGGTGCTGGGCCCCAGCATCCATCCTCCGCAGCGCGGCGGGTCGGGCAGCTGGCTCTGCACGGGGCTGCCTGCGGGCAGACGGGGTTGTCCGAAAAGCAGATTCTTTACCGGGTGTGCGGTAAGGCAATCCTCACACGCTCAGGAGAGAGAGTGTTTTATTCAGGCCTGGCTGCTCGGTTGATTTTCCACAGATCAAGCACACCTAAGGCCAGCTTCTTCATTAAATTTATACATTGAATTATACATTCTAATCAGTATGAGTTGTGCAATTACGTGGCATTGTTATTCTTGGCTTCTTTTCAGACCCTTCTGCGCATGTCTTCCTCCTTTTGGGGGTCTCCGGTGGTCCTCGGTGGTCTTCCCTGATGAAGCACCCTAATTCCTTTTATCCATATATGGTCAACTGTCATCTACGGACAACTGAAGGCCATTTTCCTCTGCCAACTTTCCTCTGTTCCTTCAAGAGGGAGTATTTGTCTTTGATTAAATGGACAGTGTAGGTGGCCAAGATGTTCTGTTTCTAAGCTTAGGTTAAACGTTAACATCATGCACCGCTTGATCAAAGGAACGCTACTTAAACACAAACAATACCCCTTCTTCCCAAGGGAGGAACGTGTTCTGCTTCAGCGGGGCTGGATGCCAGGGCCGGGGGTGGCAGGGGAGGGTCCGTGGGGAGGCAGGAGGGCTGTGGGGACTCCGCGCTGGCCCACAGGCCCACGCC